GCCTCTATTCTAGTCTCTGGTAGATATTTTGACAGCTATCAACTGGCAGACACCTGTCCAAATAGATATCAGATGCTGGATTAGAGACAGGTGTTTCGGTCTAAATAATTCCGCTCAAACGAAGACAAAATCGGGTTAATCATTTAAATAAAAGTGAACTCTTCAAACGAGAACTGTTTCGATAAGATGAGCTGGGTTTGCTTTGCTTGCGAGACCGCCATTACTATATAACAGTGGCGGTGCCAGTTAAGGTACAGGGGAGTAAGCATTCTCTCACCCTGCAAAATTGTTTGCACTCCAAAAGTACCCCAACTTTTTAACAAATTCATTATTATTTGATTTATATACGTTTTTGGCCCAAAATATGTGTCAGAATGCGAATTAATTTGGTCCAAATTAATTCAGGTTTTTTTTCTTTCTTGGTAGAACCTTCTCAGATGCTCCATGAGAGGCTTGGTATCCCCAAAGTCTCCAAAACTTCCCACCAAAGTCCAAGAAGCTCAGTTATTTAGCAAATTTAGGCATTTCACAACTACATGGGTGTGTTTACTTCGATTTCGGGGAAGGGAGGGTTTGATTCTCCCAAATGTACAGGCCTAGGGTGGAGCAGACACTTTATTTAGAAATTAGGATTAAGGGTCTTGATATTGGGTTTTCTTCTGTTCTTATTCTGATCTGAAATTAGAAAAAATAACTCGCCCGATGGGCGAGAAGTATAGTATCTGTTATGTACTGATTGTTTTTAGTTTACTATGAACAATATTATCATTTAAGTTCTTATTTTTTGAATATGCAACTATCATTTTCTGCTTATAGACATGGGGGAATTTCTCTTGAAGGCTCTTATAGTGGGCATGAACTATCTTGCTTGCTCGATTGCTGGTTGTATTAAACGGGACAACAAAGGGTGCTATGCCTACATTATGATGAATATTTAGTCCTATAGGTCTTGCTGTATTCAATGTCTCAATCCAATGGGCCTCCCTAGATTGACGGAATTTGGTAGTTTCATCTTCGGGCAAGTCAATTTCTATACGCTCAATTGGGATTAGGGTGAGATTGTCTATTGAATGGTCGTCGAGGTTGAAATGATTAGAAACAGGCTTGTCTTTCTTTAATTTGATGTCTGACCTATGAGCATT